TAAAAAAGGCACTAGGCGCTAAATAATTTTTTTAAGCGTTTTAATTTTCAAAAAGCACTAAATCTAGTGCTTAAAGCACCAAGTTGGCAACTATGCACACTAACAATCAATCTTCAAGTTCTTCTATCACACGTTCGCATCATCTATGTATGTATGTAAGTAGTGCAGTTTGTTTTGCGGTCGAGCATTGTTGTTGCTGTCGACGTAAGTACATATGTTGGTGTTGCATGCGTATTGCCGCAGCTCAGCCATCGTCACCAATGCTCAGCCGTCGTTTATTGGCAGTGTTAAGCCGATTTGACGTGGATGAAATTGTGATAAGCTTTGCCAGATGATAACGACAACATCACTACTAAGCTGCAATAACAACAACTAGTGCAAAGATTAAGTATCTAGCAGACTAAACACGGTACAAGTAGTAGCTACGCTGTGAGAATAGCTTCAGCTGACTCAAACGTAAACACGCCAGCGAAATCACTTGCTGCAAGTCACGATTAACATGTTTCAACGAAATTTGCATTCAAGTTGTGTGCGATGCGTTAGTGCACATAAACAAAGCATCCATTTAACGCAGCGTTACTAACGCTTCAGCGGACCAATTTGAGACCGTTTTACTGGTACTGAAAATGAGGAGGTAAGAAAAACGATTTCAAAATTTTGCATTTTTTGCTTACATTCCCGGATTATTCGGATATTCGTATATTTGATTATAAAATTCGAAAACGAAGCTAGACATCTAGCTGCAATTAACCATCGACATTGAGGGCATACCAAGACCATCGATGAATTACACTAGATTTTTGGAAATACTTTTCACCTACTCTTACTCTTCTTTTCCCCACACACAACCGCAATTTGCACAGTAAGTATAGAGTGGCAGCAACGAAGACAATTAATTGCAATTTTTGGATTGCTCACAGGCATCACTTGGCGAAAATACAAAGAAAAAACGTCGCACAGTGTTGCCAAATTGGCATTTACTAGTACAGAGCCACAATTTTTCAATCGATTTGATAAATTTGAAAGTTTTTCGGATTTAGAAGTGGTTTGTAGAGCCATATTTTTGAACTTTTTTTAGAGCAAAGTGCAGAAGTTTTAGAAATTGTGAAAAAAAACCAAAAAAAAAAACTTGCACTTTATTGCATTAAAATTTAATGAGCTGTAAAATTGCATATTTAAAATTTTTTTGAAAAATTAAAAAAATATATATGTTGGTAAATTTTTTTGTTTAACATTTAAATTTGTTTTGTAATTTTTTTTTTCGTTTTCAAGGTACACCTGGCTCGACAAATCTCTTAAAATCAAACCGATTAAAAAATTAACGCTCTGGAAGCTACAGACCTATTAACGCCCTAAAACACAAGTGTTGGAGGCAGAGCCTACTCTCGCCCAAACGATTTAGAGACTAGACAATTTAGGTAGGAAAAAATGAATAAAGTGAACAACTTTCACGAACAGAGTCAATGTGCCTTCCTCTTGTTGATAAATAGTGGCCGATTTAACTAATCGGATTTCCAAACAAAATTAATGCATTTCTCACCAAAAAATCGCAATTTAATCCTCATTAAAATGTATGGAAAACTTTTAATTTGAACATATTTGTTGGATTTGCAATTTATTACTTAACTTAACTTTCCGAAAGTTCAAAATGAGGCAAATTAATTTTTTACGCTCATTTAAACTTTTCTGCAACAAAAAAAAAACTAATTTTTAATTTACCCCCATACTTGCCACAGTTTAAAAAGTGCGTACGTACATTTTTTTTTTACCCCATTCCATGCACCATTTTTTGTAACAAAGTAACTCATTTGGCTTGACAAATAAAAATTCATTCCGATGTAACTTGCAAATATGTATGTATGTACTTACATATGTATGGGGGTATTCATTCATTCATTCATATTTTTGCATTTGCACAGAGCTACGCCTAAGTAGCGGCTTGCTTGAGAGAGCTGTTGCTGCAACTGCAGCTGAAAGTTTGATATGGGAAAAACTAATTCACTGAACGGGAATGCGTTAATTATACTTCCGTTGGCATATTGGTGCAAACTTATTTGAATGGGGAAAACACACACACACACACACAAACAACGCGCGCACCAGCAAATTCAATAAATATATGTGTGTATGTATGTATGTATGTATGTATGTATGTATGTATGCGCATTCATTGCACACATTTCAACTTGCAGCAGAGGAGAATTGCATATGTATGCTGTCACTTGAAATGAAATTCCCAAGCGCACTTGTGTGCCAATGACTTTTCCGCCTCCCACTCCCCCCCCCTTCGCACGCACCCAGCAGCAGTTGGCATTAATTTCATGGAAAACTATATAGAAATATTTGCCTTCAATTGAACAATTTTCATCAGAATCGCGCGAATCATCAAAGTGGTGGTGTCCAATAGCTTTTGAAGTGATATGGAAATAAGGAAGGAATTCGATAGCAGCATGCAATCATATGTATGTATGTATCGTGGGAGTGTTTTGGGAAATTTTAATTATTGCAAGTCGACTCTCTCTGAAATTGAAACAGAAATTCGGGAAGCAACTCACTTACTTTGGCAACTCGCTAACATTTCAATTGCGCGATATTTGCGGAAAATTGAAATTCAAGTTATTTGAAGATAATTTCAAAATTGTTTATTTACTAATGGACCTAGTGCAGTAAAGCTTCGGTGACCCTGTTTCACTTACTTTTTGACTCACCAAAAATTTCAATCTATTCAAAATGGAAAACGGCACAAGGCTTACCTGAAAGAAATAGAAGAGTGTGTATAAGCATTAAATTTGAAATAAAAAATTAAAAGCAAAAAAAATATTCACATTATACAAATGTATATATTTTAAAGTTTAATGAGTACATATTGCGTCTAAATTAGGGCTGGGAGTTTTTTCTGGGTTTCTAGGATCTCCGGATAATCCCAGGATAGTCCCAGCTTTGCCAAGAGGATCTCATGAAATTGGATATGTACACAGGTGTAAAACGCGTGCCAAAGAACATTTATTTCATTTCATTTTATTCATTTTAACGAGACGAGTACACGAATTTTTCATAGCCACTTCGGGAGTAGCTCAAGACTATGTCAGTATTATTTCAAGACAAGTTTTGAACTAATCTGAAGTGACCCCAAACTAGCCCCAAAAATGTCCAGAAGTAGTACTTAATCGTTTTGAAAAGGTCGTGAACTTGCACCGAAAGTATCTGGAACTAGTCTTCAAATGGTCCCAAAATGGTCCCTTACGAGCCCCAAATTAGTTTCTAAATGTTCTTGAAATAGTCCTTTTTTCACATAAATTTCAAATGAAAATAAATCTTTTTTTTTTTTTTTTGCTTAGAGTACTCTCGTTAAACTGGCTAATGGTAAGTCGAGCACTGAAAATGCGAGAGATCTCTTGTTTTAACCGCCTCCCGCATGCTTATTGTAAGGGAAGGTCGGTAGAAACCGCCCGAAAAACAATTGTGAGGTGGATAGAAGATGCCTTCACTCACATAGATTTTGCCGTAGGAGCGTTCCTCGATAATGAGAGGGCATTTAATAATATCCTGCCAAAGGCAGTAGTTAAGTCGTTGGCTAAGCTTGGGGTTGCTGTCAGTCTCATTCGGCTCATCCAAAACTTGCTGCGTGACAGAACTGGCTGGCCATATGGGGCCGCGTTCGCCTGCATCGCACAGCTAATACGAAAATATCCTCTCACCCTTGCTCTGGGTAGTCATGGTGCAGGACGTACTAAAGGAGCTGGAGAAACACGGCTGTTGGGTAATTGCCCACGCAGACGATGAACTAACCCAACGGTATTTTAACGTTATGCTAAACGTAGTGCTTGTCGACGATGCACGCAAAAGTGGCTGCTATGAAGGAGGTGGTGGATTCACTGCTCCGGAGCGCTATGACAGTCAGGGAGGTGAGAATTTATTTTGATAGGCAAGCGGCTATCAGGATCTGAAGTACGTTGGATGTGCGCTCTAATTTGGGTAAATAAAGTCTTCTCTCTCTCTCTTTCGGTTGCGTCGGAACACTTCTGTATTAGGCTTACTTGGGTTCCGGGTCACAGCGACATTGTGAGGTACTGCGTGGCTGACAAATTGGCCAGGAAAGGCGCTCTTGAAACGTTATCGTCGGACAAGGAGGAGGCTGCGCATGCCATTGATCACTTGTGGTACACTCTTGGATAAGTGGCCCTCATGTCAGCTCAGCGAGCGCGGGGCGAAAACCAGGACATGCGCAATTTCAAGGTCCTTCTGGCCGAGGGTGGACATTGGCCGGTCGAGGGCACTCCTTACACTCACAAAGCCAAAGCTCTCACTGCTGGTGGCAGTTTTAACGGATCACTATCAAATCGGTATTAAGGCTGATAATATTTCCGAGGCCTTTATGTTATAGTTGCCCGGAAGATCTCGAGGTGGAAGCACCTCAACACTACCTTCTTATGTGCCCAGCGTTTGCGAAGCTAACGTTGAAGTACTTTGGCTCTCACATCATTACTATCCCCGAGGAGCTCTGGAGCATTGCGGTAAGCCGAATTCGTAAATACATAATCGGATTGGGGCGTTTTATCGATTATGTATAGGATGCCGTTTCAGAATGGGGTATCACAAAGGACTATCTCCTAATTGCCTAAGTGAGCCCCGGTAACATTCACGTGCGGTACGCCTTTGCCATCTCACAAAGGCGAAAAATTATATGCACTCAAAATGCATTTATGTCGTTTTTACTTTCAAGCATTTATATACATATTCACCAGAGTCCCTCGCTAATTACCCGAGCTTAACAAGAAAAATCGTAGAGACAGCTAAATACATGCAACTACCGCGATGAAATGCCAACCCAATCCACACAAAAAGTGACACTATAGGCAGCAGAAATGCCAGGAATAACTGCCATACCTGCGAGAATACATACATACGTACAAGTAAAGAAAATGTCGCTTATAATGGCTTCGGTAATAAGGATGTTTTTTCCGTAAATGAGTTTGCTATAATGACGTTGACAACGCGAAATGAATGAACGAAGAAGTCAGGCGCTGGCCACAGCATTGTTGCAAACAGCCGCGAGGAGAGCAGTGTGGACAAGCCACGAAGCGCAATCAGATGATGACGACCCTTTGCTGACGCTTTTAACGCGATCGTGGATGACAACCATTATGCAGGCCGTGGGGGATGATGTCAGTGTTGCAACGCACGATGCCGCACTCATTAGCAAAGATGACAACAAGGCGGCGATGACGGCGGCTGGCATGTAGTGGTAGCAGGTGACCCAACTACATAGACAGCGTGGCAGCTGCGGCAAGAAAATCGAAGAGCCGGCAGCTATTGAGGGCGCTGACTGTCAGACTGTCAATGCAAAAGCGCGCGCGAGCCACCATTGCGGCTATAAATTGTGTGTGAAATGTGTGGATAATGTGCAGAGAATAAATGCGAAAAGTCACTAACAAAAATGGATGCTTGTCTTAAAAACAAAAACAAAAAAAATACAACAAAAAAACGGAAGTGAAATTTGCAAAAAGCGTTGCAGGAAATTACTCTGCAAAGACGAGAGTGTGAACACAAATTAAAAGAGACAAATTATGAATGTCGAAGGATGCCAGAGAGCCAATGACATTACAGAAGAAAAAGCCAAATGCAAGAGCAATAACAATAACAATGCAATTTTTTGCGAAAGTGCGCACTGCTGACACAATTATGTTTTTATGTAAATAAAATGTCAAAAAGCGTAATTAAAATTAATAAGGTCAGATCTCGTTGGCAGTGGGCAGCTGATTGTGTTTGAAACGCTTGGCATATTCCAGCGCGCAATGCACAGAGGCAGTTGAAAGTGCAGTGAACTAGTAAATAATAATGAAAAAAAAAAAACGTCCACATCGCTGATGCCACATATAAAACCAATGTACTTGAGTTGGCGAAATGAAGAAAAGAAAAGAAAAAAAAACGAGAATGAAATTTCAAAACGAGTGCAAGTTTAATTATTTACCAAAGTGCGCGGCTGGTATTGGATGAGTTGAACAACAGGAGGGGAGGTGAGCAAAGTGGTTTAGTGCAGAGTGAGTTCAGGGCCAATTGCAGATTGTACTGCTCGAATATTTTCTAAGAGCTTGATTGCAGTGGTCTGCATTTACATATGTAAATCAGTGACTTCGACATTTTTTGGGAAGAAATAAATGAGCTTTGATAGACTCATAAAAACTTACAATCTACAATTGTACTATA